CAAAATTAAATGTGTTACCTAGATAGATATTTGAACCAATTAAAAAAACCCCATACACATACCATTCTGAAATCAATAAAAATGTCATGTAAAACGAGCAGACTTGGATTCTTTTGTGTACCATTTGTATGAAATCGAGTAATATAGCTATATTTAAACACACGGACCTAATTGAGCAACCGTTGCATACACCATTTGTTTTTTGTTGTCACTCTATATTTAATTTAATACCCTCTTCCAAATTTCGCGTGAATCAAACAAATATAGGCCCTTCGGTGCACCATTTACATAAAATCGAACGAAAAAATATATATGAGACCTATATCAAAATCTGAACCGATTTCAACAAATTTATCACATATTATTTTTTCCTTTATTGCATTCGCTTACCAAATTTTTGCTCAATCGGACAAATATTAGGAGTTTGGTGCATCATTCACAAAAGTTGTATGAAACTATATATTGAGACTATATCCAAATCTGAACCGATTTTAACACAACTTCGCAGACATAAGTATGGACCTGATTCAGTGCGTTGTGCACAATTTTGTCCCAATTGGATAAATATTGGGAGTTTGTTGATTCATTTACATAAAATCGGACGAAACTATATATGGGAGCTATATCTAAATCTGAACCGATTTTCAGGAAACTTAGCACACGTCATTATAGCTTTAATTCAGTGCGCTGTGACAAATTTCGTGCAAATCGAATGATTTTCAGAGACTTTGGTGCACCAATTACCTAAAATAGGATGAAAATATATTTGGGAGCTATATCTAAATCTGAACCGATTTTCTCGAAACTTAACACAAATCATTTTAGACCTAATTCATTACGCTGTGCCAAATTTCGTGCAAATCGAAAGATATACAGGGACTTTGGTACACCATTTACCTTAAATCTGACGAAAATATATATGGGAGCTATATTTAAATCTGAACCGATTTTTCCCATTTTCAATAGGATTCGTCCCTGGGCCAAATAAGTGAACTGTGCCAAATTTCATCCAAATCGGATCATAAATGCGACCTGTACTTTGTTTCACAGTGGGGTGAAGAGTATAAAAAATAAAGGGGGTTTGATTTCTTAATTTTTTATGATACAGTGGACATCTTTCAAAAGTGAAAAACAAGGTACTTACGCAAAATTCGCCATAAAGTGGTCTGGGCCAAAAAATCGATTCTTCCACCCAGAGATTATATTGTAAATACTTAGGGAATTATATATATTAATCCTTATGCAAGAATTTACTATTATCGAAGAAATATGCAAGAATATGTATACGGGAACATACTACTTCAAATGTTATTTTTCTATATTTTTTAAATCGATGTTATAAATAAAATATTTGCTAGTAAATAAATTTATTATTTGGTCTCTTGCAGAACCTGTAAGAAGAACCTTTATGATATCGAAGAAAATAGTAAAAATTAGTAGATTATAGCAGTAGAGAAATTGATTTTCTTCTCAGTAATACGAATTTTAAAATTATTATTTCTATACTGTGAACCACCCTAACAGCAGCAGCTGTTGTCGCACCTTTAAATATCGTTACCATATCGATAATATGGCAACACCATCATGGCACGTCATCGATAACACAGCAGCTGATAAGAATAACAAAAAATTACCATCTCCAAAAAACACAGTTTAAAAAGGAACTAGTTCCTTAATGTAATTCATTTGGTCCATATAGCCGGTAAATTGTACAATAAAAAACATTGGTATTCCAAGGTAAATTTGGGTGACCATGATGGGTTTGGAGGGTTCCCTGTTGTGGCCTTTGTTTACATTGGCATCATGTGTGAAATTAATGCTTGTTCCGGCATAGTAAGTATAACAAAATTCGGGTAAATTAACTATCTACTGACAAGCTTATTCTTACAGCCATTCCACGGACTTTGAGGTACATCGTAATTGGTTGGCCATAACCAACTCACTGCCTCTGAAACAATGGTATTATGAGGCGACCAGTGAATGGACCTTAGATTATCCACCATTCTTTGCCTACTTTGAATGGGTGCTATCAAAATTCGCTGCATTTGTAGACCCCAAAATGTTGGAAGTCAATAATCTTAATTATGCCTCAACGGAAACAAAATATTTCCAAAGAATATCTGTAATGGTTATGGACTTCATTTATATGTATGGGGTGTGGCGTTGTTTAAGATCCCTTAAACGTATGGGTGTGAAAATGCACCAAGCCTCTGTGGAAGTGTTTTTACTGCTAAATATTGGTCTCATATTTGTGGATCACATTCACTTCCAGTATAATGGATTTCTTTTTGGCATTTTGTTGCTGAGTATAAGTTATTTACTCGAGGAACGTTATGTCAAGTGTGCATTCTTCTTCGCATGTTTGCTGAATTTTAAACACATTTTCATTTATATGGCACCGGCGTTTGGAATTTACCTGTTGCGTCATTATTGTTTAGATCCTAGTAAAAATCCATTATTTGCCTTTGTGAAATTGCTGGCAGCTGGACTGACACCATTTGTGGTCTCGTTTGGACCATTTTGGCAACATATACCGCAGGTGTTGAGTCGTCTATTTCCCTTTAAACGTGGTCTGACACATGCCTATTGGGCACCGAATTTTTGGGCTCTTTATAATACTGCGGATAAAGTTGCTGCTGTTGCGTTGAGGGCTCATTCAAAATCTGGTGCATCAACCACATCGGGTTTGGTCCAAGAATTTGAACATGTCGTATTGCCATCTGTTCGGCCGATGGTCACATTTGTCCTAACTCTTGTATCTATGATACCGATTTTGTTAAGTCTGTGCCGTTTTAAACATAAGAGGTAAGTTAATTTTTGGGAAAATTGTTTCAAGGACTAACAACGCTATTAGCATATATTTTTGCCTTTGGAATATAAATGTGGATATTTTTAGAATATATTGGAGTAGAGTATCACATTAAATTTATATTTATAAAAAAACTTGGGCTATAAGCTTGGATTTTTATACCCTTCACCACACTGTGGTTTGTAACACTCTTGTCCGATTTAAGGAAAATGGGGTACCAAAGTCCCTATATATCTTTCGATTTGCACGAAATTTGGTATAGCCTACTGAATTAGGTCTAGAATGATGTGTGCTAAGTTTCGTGTAAATCGGTTCAGGTTTAGATATAGCTCTCATATATAGTTTCGCCCGATTTTAGGTAAATGGTGCACCAAAGTCCCTGAAAATCATTTGATTTGCACGAAATTTGGTATAGCCTACTGAATTAGATCTCAAATGATGTGCGCTAAGTTTCGTGAAAATCGGTTCAGATTTAGATATAGCTCCCATATATAGTTTCGCCCGATTTTAGGTAAACGGTGCACCCAAGTCCCTAAAAAATCATTTGATTTGCTCGAATTTTGGCATGGCGTATTGAATTAAGTCTAGAGGGACGTGTGCTAAGTTTTGTGAAAATCGGTTCAGATTTATATATAGCTCCCATATATAGTTTCGCCCGATTTTAGGTAAATGGTCTACCAAAGTCCCTATATATCTTTCGATTTGCACGAAAATTGGCATAGCGTAATGAATTAAATTTAGTATGATGTGTGGTAAGTTTCGGAAAAAAATGGATCAGATTTCGATTTAGTTCCCTTATATCTTTTCGTCTGATTTTATGTAATTGGTGCACCAAAGTCCCTATATATCCTTCGATTTGCACGAAATTTGGCATATCGTACTGAATTGAGCCTAGAATGATGTGTGGTAAGTTTCGGAAAAATTGGTTCAGATTTCGATATAGCTCTAGCATATACATATATATTCGTCGTAAACTCCTAATGTTTGTGCGATTAACACGAAATTTTGCACAACGTATCAAATTGAGACTTGAATGACGTTATTGCATTTTGTTGAAATTGGTGCAGATGCACCAACAGCGCTGCTTACCGAATAGCGTGTATCAATTTTGCTATAAATCTTTTTCCATAAATTTGTCTCATGGCTTGCAGGCTACTCTAAATCTGCCCGAATGAAATTCAATTTATCATAGGTTGCAGAAAGACTTCGAGGGAACATTGACATGCAATTGTAAGGCTACATATGTTCAATATACCCAATGTGAATCAAATTTGTATCATGTAAAATTAAACTAAAAAATACTTCTTCACTGCAACTTCATAAAGAATGTAAGAGCGTTGTATCTATCCTGTCCTTGCAACTTTTCTTTTTTCCAACTACTTCTTACTAAGAACAAAAAACTACAAACATGTCATTATTATCAGTATTCCCACTAATACCTACCTTAATTAAATTCCTTCCTACTGTTCATTGTTCTTGTCGTCTTCATTTTTTGTTTTCTTTCTTCCTTTTTTTGCAGAGATAGTAAAATTGCATTTATACGCGCCGTGGTAATTTGTTCGGCTTGTTCCTTTATGTTTGGTTGGCATGTTCATGAGAAAGCCATACTGATGTGTTTGATACCACTTTGGTAGGTAGAATGACATTTTTAATTAACTTTCAATCATTAATGGTGTTTTTATGTCTTCTTGCAGTTTCTTGTTCTGTATCAGTGCGACGGATGCGAAATATGCCTTTATGCTAAGTGCAGTGGGTTATTTCTCTCTATTTCCACTACTGTTCCAGGTGGATTTATTCATCATACGCTATTCGTTGTATTTGGCGTATATGGCATTCATGTATTTGGCCTATGTACGTTTCTATCAGACATCACCCGGTATGAACCTGCTGGAAGATCTTTACATTTATGGTTTGGTATTGATACCAATCTATGAACATATTATTGGACCCATGACAGGACTAAATGACAAGTTGCCATTTGTACCACTACTATTGTATTCATCATATTGTGGTGTGGGTGTTCTATATTGTTTTATACGTTACTATATTTATGCCTTAGAACCTAAGCTCGATACGACAATTATTAAGACTAATAAGCAAACACAACAAAAACAACAAACTAAATTAAAATCAAAACATGTAACAACTACTTCGGCTTCCAAGTCGAATGGTGGTGGCAATCAAGATAGAATCAAGACCACTGTAAAGTTGCCGGCAAAGAAGTCGAAGGAGAAACTGAAATAAAGTTAACTGCTGTATTGTTAGTACGAAATGGTTTTCTTGTTGTTCTTGCTGTACAGCCCAACCATGCTGCGGATGCCCGTCGAGGATAGCCACGCTGTGGCCGTACTCGTTGATTATCATACAGCCAATAGAGATTATCCTTGAAAAAGTAAGTTTTTCCTGAAAAGTAATTTATAAAATGAGTAGTTTGGAGTTATTGTGTAGTAGTGTTTGAAGATGAACATCGATTATCTTGATTGTTTTGGTTGGATATTCGAGTTTCGTTAATATTTTAGTGATTTACCATTGGGTATTGTTGTGGCGGCATCAATATTTTCTGGTATTCCTGGCCATCGTTGCATTGACTTTGGGTAGCCCTCATCAAGTTGTTGTAAATAATCATTGTAACGCCAAAATATGGATCCAGAAAATATATATGTGCGATTATTTTTAGCTGGAAAATAATAAATTGATTAATTTTGATGATCCTTGAAGGGCCTTAGCATTGATTTTATATAAAATACATTTTCAAATGCAAGATGAGCGTTATTTTAAATAATTTTTTCAAGGAATAAATGAGCGTGGATTTAAAAAAAAAAATTTTTTTCAAAGATTTTTTAAAAATAATTTTTTAAGGGCTGGATGGGGGTGGGTTTTTTTTATAATTTTTCAAAGGCCAGATAAGCGTGGATTTTTAAAAATAAAAAATGAAATGATTTTCTGTGGGCTAGATGAACGTGGATTTAAAAAAAAAAAATATTTATTAAAAGGCTAGATGAGTATTGTTTGTTATATAACTTACGCCACAATATCGCTGCATCTACATGATCAATGTTCACATTAAAGCCCAACAGACGGTTTAAAGCCACAGGACTAGAGTTCAATATTCGTTCATTTTTATAATACCAGACTTGGTTAGCTAACGAAAGAATCATCATTAGACAATTATTAACAAAATATCACATTGAAATATTTTTTTAATACCCGAAAAGAATAGTATAGTCTTATCGTAACGTTCATAGCAGGCATCAATCTTCTTCACCTCCTCCGGCAAATCTATAATAACTTCCTGCAAACGTTTTGGGTAACCATCGAGAACACGATATTGGGCCGAAAGTTTCCAAACATATTGACCCTTGAAAATATGAACATGATCTCGAAAATAACACACGGCATTAAAATTGCCATCGCATATTGGTGGTATGGTGGATGTATAGAAGGATCTGTCTCTAGAATTTATGTCAGTGCTAGGATTTGATGTTGTACTGGGGAATGATGGAGAAAATGCATTCGTAGTGTCTGCCGTAGTACTGGGCCAATTAGTGTTACCCTAAAAAGATGGATACATATTAGACATAACTCTTCATGTTTTATTAGACCAAATACATACCTCTTCCTCATAAAATTGCCTGTTTGTTGTGGTTGGCATATAATCGTTGTTAACTGTGGTGTACTCAGTTATCTCATATGAAATTGTGGTAGTTTCTGCAAAATCTTCCTTCTCTTCGGCTTCTTCCTCCATTTCTTCTTCATCATTAACCACTTCAACATCATCGTCTAATTTTTTGTTCACTTTAAAACAAATAATTTTATTATTGAATTAAATTTAAAAATTTAAATTTAAAATTGTGTATGGTACTTACAGTAGGCCTCATACATAGCCAATGTATCATCATAATTTAAAACATTATAATCCGGTCCTTTGTAGTATGGGAACATTATTGAACTATATGTGGGTGAATGGGCCAAACCCAAACTATGACCCAATTCGTGTAAGGCCACTGTATAAAAATCCACACCTTGGCTCAGCTCTGGGGAGTTTTCTCTCCAATTTTCATCTTCATCGAAGTGAACATCACCGCCCCATGAACCCATTTCGTAGGGATAGAAGGCATGAGCCAGAATATTACCAACACCATCAAAGGGAAAACTGATTACAAACAAAATTAATTGTTTCTTTTTTATTTTATTGAATACTTACTTATCACCATGATATAGTGAACCAAATCCAATAATAATATCCGCCGAGGTATCATTTACCCGTTCAAATTTCAGATTGCTGTACTGAGACCAAACTTCGAATGCCCGAGCGATATCGCGTTCAACTTGTCGGGCTGGTATTTTCAGTGATCGATTGCCGATTCTATAAAATTAAAATATGAGGACAAAGGAAACATTACTGAAATTTAGTATTTATATCATATATGCTATCAGGACCGTCACTATACACCGAATTTTCTTAATTGATAATACTAGTAGAGTAGTGACTGATGCTAACATTTTAAATAACTCTCTAATAGAGCAGTACTATTTTTAAGAATTATTGGAAGAGGTGAATCCTACCGAAGATAAGTATGGATTCAAAAGACGTCGGCCGATATTACACGTCTCCAAATTCATCTGGCGAACGTTATGAAATTATAACGTGAATAAACACAATCGAATCATTTCGAAACCCCATTCCTATTGCGAGGATAAGAAACTTATACGTGTACTTTTTGTAAAGGAAGAAGAATAGATTTATCCCAAAAAGATTTCGAATATAATATAAGATGTTATTGATGACAAACATATGGGTGACTAACATTCAGGTCGATAGAGATCACGTTCCCATCAAAACTGCATCAATGATTGGGTGGTTAACTTGGAATTTCTATAGCACACGGTATTAATAATACCTATTGGGGTTCCCAGGTATCATATGTGGCAACTTTGATTGTCGACGCAGACAATGCGGAAGAAATAGGCTTTATTTATTTTTTTATATTTATCATTGCCCAGTTTTTCGACCTTAAGGCTGTATACTACATTTCACAAGTAAATATAAATTTTATCATTACAAAATGGTTTAAATGTAAAAGGGAGGACAGGAAATAATGACACGGTATATATTATGGTGTCCCTTCGACTATTTTATAATCATACCGTTGGGACCCATTAGCTGATGTACAGATTCACACAAGGACGTATGATCTGTGGTGAAGTCAAAATTCAAACGAATCGCCTTGATCTAGTGAGTTTCTTCCATCTGAGGAATATGACAATTACACCAAGAAATTGATGATAATATTCGATAGCATATTCAAATCGTCTGTGAAAGCCATTGTTATTTGCGATAAACTGGGAAGTTGGAAAATGGCCTTCAAGTCGCTGGCCGACCAGACTTGAGTTGTTGACATGTGGATATCAGCTGTAAGCTATGCGGCGCCAGTGTGCTTTGCGAATGTAAGTGAAACGAAGTGGAAGAATATTCAGACTTGTCTGAATGCCGCACTGAGAATTACAAGAGGGTGTCTCCCCACGACACTAGAGGATAATTTCCTTGGGAAGATGAAGATAATATCCGTTCATTGGTTTAACCAAATGTTGTCGATGCAGTTTCTGCTTGGGCGTTATAGTCTGGAACACCCCTGCCATAGCCTTATGGACATATCTCAGGAGAGATATGAGGTCCAAAGAGACAGGTAGATGAAAATTTAAATAATTGAACCTCTAGATCAACAAATACAGATGCAGTTGCCCAGGCAGTACCACTATATCCTATGAAAGCTAACTCGAAGACCATACGTAGTAGTTTGAGAGAAACATCTGCTGAGAATGAGACGAATATTTTAGAAATGTGAAGACCAGAATGCTACAACTGTCTCTAAACATACTGGGTACGAATTGATGTCTTGAGAATATACATAGAATCACTTTATGAGTCGATTTACGCGTCCGTCCGTCCGTTCGTCTGTCTTTTCAAATTAAATTGTAAACAATTCGGATCATAAATGCGATCTGTACGCATCCGAATCGGATGAAATTTGGCACAGCTCTATTATTTGGTTCAAGGACGAACCCTATGAAATTGGGAAAAATCGTTTCAGATTTAGGTATAGCTCCCATATATATTTTCGTCCGATTTAATGGAATGTGTGCACCAACGCCCTTACATTTCTTTCGATTTGCACGAACTTTGGCATAGCGTATTGAATTAAGTCTAGAACGACGTGTTCTAAGTTTTGTGAGAATCGTTTCAGGTTTAGATATAGATCCCATATATATTTTCGTCCGATTTAATGTAAATAGTGCACCAAACTTGCTATATATTGAATTGAGTCTAGAATGAGTGTGCTAAGTTTCGTAAAAATCGATTAAGATTTAGATATGGTTCCCACATATAGTTTCGTGCATATCTCTCGATTTGCACGAAATTTGGCATAGCGTACTGAATAAAGTCTAGAATGATGTGTGATAAGTTTCCTGAAAATCAGTTCAAATTATATATTTTCGTCCGATTTAATGTAATGTGTGCACCAACGCCCTCACATTTCTTTCGATTTGCACGAACTTTGGCATAGCGTATTGAATTAAGTCTAGAACGACGTGTTCTAAGTTTTGTGAGAATCGTTTCAGGCTTAGATATAGCTCCCATATATATTTTCCTCCGATTTAATGTAAATGGTGCACCAAAGTCCCTATATATCTTTCGATTATGCACGAATGATTAAGTCTAGAATGATGTGAGCTAAGTTTTGTAAAAATCGGTTCAGATTTAGATATAGAGTACCAAAGCTCCTATATATCTCACGATTTGCACGGAATATGGCATATCATACTGACTTGAGTCTAAAATGATGTGCGCTAAGTTTTGTGAAAATCGGTCGAGATTTAGATATATCTCCCATATATATTTTTTCCGATTTTTTGTCAATTGTGTGCTAAAGTTTGTCCGATTGGTACACAATCAAATTGAGACTAGAATGACGTTATTGTGGTCCGTTGAAATTGGTGTCGACATTGTTTCCATATATATGTTGAAAGTTTGTCCAATTAAGATTAAATTTTTAACAGTACAGCATACCGAATAGGGTGTATCAAGTTTGCTTTAAATCGATTTACCTAAATTTATCCCGTTGAACTCATTAGGGGTCATATTAGGCTATACAAAGTAATGTCTATATAATGTCGTAAGTAGGACAAGATTACGAATTTCATATTTAAATAATTTCCCTTGAAGAGACTCCATTTAGCTCAGCTCAAATCTGTTTTAGTACCACACATTTTATAGAATTTTTATAGACATCGAACGGAATTTACTTACAAATATTTAATATGTCGTTTGGTCCATGTTTTTGCTCCGAAAATAAAACGTTTCTTGCGCTGTTTAATATTGCTGGGAGTTATCATATCCCGCTGTTGCAGATAATACGGTTTGCCCTCAATATCGGGAACACCACAGCGAGGCTTTGTAAAAAGCTGAATAGAAGAAATAAATAAAAACAATATTAAAATATCAGCAACAATAATAACAAAATGTAAACAATAATTTTAAATAAATAAAAAATGACAACAAAATTCAAGTTCATTGAATTGAAAACAAAAAATGAAATGAGTACAGACTCCAAGATTATCTTTGGCACAATTCCAATGATGACTATCTCTTCTTGTACAAATACACACACAGATACAGAAGTATAAGCCGGCTATGCGTATTTCGTATAGGAAGCTTATCAGTAAACTTCTGGTCAGCTGCTTGCTGTCTTATTCACTTTCACTGATCGTCGGCATGTGTCATTATGTTGTGTACATACCTCGAGGGTATTTTCATCCAATTTCCCAGTTTGTTCTAGAGCTCCATATTTTTGTATATTTTTCAATGCTTCCACAATTGCACTTTCATGATATAGAGCTTCCGAATTGTCAGGATTTCGATCCAAATAGCCAAAGCGACGCATAAAATTTAACTAAATCACAATAAAAAATCCAATATTAGAATAATTATTATTTTGATTTTAAGTTCCCAAATTACCACTTCAGCTGGTGGAACTTCTAAACTTAGCGTATTCGATTTAATTGGATATTCTTGAGAAATTTTGATAAACAACAAAAATGACTGCAGTATCCATATTTTTGTTTTCCACATAATATCACTTGTATATATACAAAGTTTATTTTATAATTTTTTTCACTTATTTTGTTGACCGGCGGCGATGCTTCCGCCTCAAGAAACGTTTTAAAATAAAATGATCAATTCATCCACTCTTGTGGCTGTTGACTATCCCACATGAAAAGAAAAAAAAACATACTGATACCGGCTTCTTTGGCTATTTCTTATCAGTGAGTAGGTCTCTTCTTTTGAATTCAATTTTATTCTTGTGGGAATAATCTTAAAGAGTTTCTCCTGAAATTAAGAAAGGCTTATGCAGATGATCGTTTCGGATCCATCTTAAGAGAGAGAGGCATGCGTTTGAATGGACTATTCTCTTTATAAAATTATAATAGAAGGCCAATTGAAGGCATAAAACCTTAAAAATACCTACGTCTTAGGGCCTTGCAGATTTTCTTAAAAAAATTTACACCTTAGGGCCTTATCGATTGTCTTATAAAACCTTAAAAATATCTACGTCTTAGGGCCTTGCAGATTGTCTCATAAAACCTTAAAAATACCTACGTCTTAGGGCCTTGCAGATTTTCTTAAAAAAATTTACACCTTAGGGCCTTATCGATTGTCTCATAAAACCTTAAAAATATCTACGTCTTAGGGCCTTGCTGATTTTCTTAAAAAAATTACACCTTAGGGCCTTGCAGATTGTCTCAAAAAATCTTTAAAAAATCTACACCTTAGGGCCTTGCAGATTGTCTCAAAAAATCTTTAAAAAATCTACACCTTAGGGCCTTGCAGATTGTCTCAAAAAATCTTTAAAAAATCTACACCTTAGGGCCTTGGAGATTGTCTCAAAAAATCTTTAAAAAATCTACGCCTTAGGGCCTTGCAGATTGTCTCAAAAAATCTTTAAAAAATCTACGCCTTAGGGCCTTGCAGATTGTCTCAAAAAATCTTTAAAAAATCTACGCCTTAGGGCCTTGCAGATTGTCTCAAAAATCTTTAAAAAATCTACGCCTTACGGCCTTGCAGATTGTTTCAAAAAATCTTTAAAAAATCTACGCCTTAGGGCCTTGCAGATTTTCCCAAAAAACAAAAAAATTACACCTTTGGGCCTTGTCGATTGTCTCAAAAAATCTTTAAAAAAAATCTACGCCTTAGGGCTTTGCAGATTGTCTCAAAAAATCTTTAAAAAATCTACGCCTTAGGGCCTTGCCGATTATCAAATTAAATAATTTAAATTAAGATACAATCTACCTCTAATCCGAAGAGGGTAGCCCAATAGTTCCAGCCACAGATGGAGAACTTTTTAATAAAACGAATGGTAAAACAGTAGCCTCTGATACCTTCCCAACAAATTGATAAAATAAAAATTAATGCCCCATTTTATATTGACGTTGTCTTTAGTACCGGAATAGGTCCATATTCGATGATCGGCTGTTCTATCGATGAACATTTTTTCCACCGATTATTCTTTTGGAATCTGAAAACATACAAATAGGTGGCACATATGGATTTTTGTCATCCATTGAAGTCCTCGATGGTACTTCCTATACAGATGCCTTCAATGAGTCCTAGGAAGCTGTCAAACATACAATGCTTAATTGAAGTGATTTTAAATTTGCTCCCAATTTTTTCATCCAATTAATCGTTCAATTTATTTATTAATATTTTGTCTCTCTCTATATATATTTCTCACATTTCAAAAAGCAGTCTTACAATACAAACACTCATTTTTCTCACACACATGCATTATTTACATCCTTATATGCTCTATCACGATGTTGGTGGTGTTCCGTCTCAATAATGATTGCGTCGCTTATTCGATGGACAATATTCGGCATATTCTTCCCATGTACAACCGGTTTTGGTGCAACATTCACTGGTTATCGATGGATCCCGGGTGCGGCGTGTCCTTAAGAAGGCATGAGCAATATCAGGTGTAAACCATTTCGTCATTGGGGAGTGAACTGCGAATAGAAGAAAAGAAAAAACATTATGAATGGTATATATTTTTTATTTATTATTTTGGTTCACCTTTGCTTCTTTTCACAATAGCTTCATTGGTCTGAAATTCACCACGTCGTGTTAGGCGATAAATATCCATTTCACAAGCCCAATACATGTGGCGCAGTAATTTGTCACGACAACGAGAATGACTTTCGCTGTGCCAAACATTTTGCCAATCATCGGGAGTTCTGAAAAAATAAAATTTGGTTATATTTAAGAAATTGTGCAAATTTCTATATTTTATGTTAAAATATAAAAATAAAAATTTGGAGGGTAATCTATAGGACCAGAATATTCGAATTTAAACAAAACATTTTAAAAATTGTGTCGTTTAGTACATAATAAAAACCATCAGAGTCGCAAAAGTGAAAAAAAATGTTTATTATATAGTTTAATTCAAATCGAAATATTTATTCGGAATCGGTATTGAGTGCTCTTTTATCGACTCAGACTCCATAGCAATTGGAACATTTTTTCCTCTCACTCCTTTAGAAGCATATAGCTTTCATAGAGCATTGTATGATGATATTGTCTTAGTTCTTAGGTTATTGTTCGTCGACCCCAGGTGTATCCTAATCGGTACAAATTTCGTGATCCTTAGGGATTCCATTCAAGTGCCATTATGGGTTTTCTACGGACAGTTGTATTTGTTAGCATCCACAGCTCAACTTTACTTATGGTGTTGGGTCATAATATTCAGCTTATGATTCTAAGGACTTTTTATGAATACCTGTAGCTGATGCGTGATGATGTTAGATACACACCAGTTTTCTGTGCTTCGAATATTTTAAGCTTGGGTTTCTTGGATATATGTGACGCACTCCTTTTGTAGCCTATTGATTGCGTTCGATCGCTCTTATTATTTGTCTAATAGTGTCGTCGTAGTTCTTGCAACTTTTGTAAGGGTATGCGATAAGCCCCATATTCAAAGGATATGTTAGAAAATAAGGTTGTGTCAAGTTTGGTTTAAATCGGCTACTCCGTTCGCACGAGATTATAAAATTAATTCCATTTTTACCATTATATGTGGGAGATTGAAGCTTGCAAAAATCGTAATATTTTTACTAAGCCTAGATCATATTCGATATTGATTCGCCCTTGGCTTCCCCAATAAAGGGATAATATTTTGAAAAACTTATAAATATCATGTTACGCTAGGGTCACTTCTTCATGTACCTCCTCACAAAGGATCAAAATTCTGGAATATATTGATATCAGGCGAATTTTTCATGTTGGGCGCCATTTCGCAAAATATAGTGCATAACAATAGGATATACTTCATATGTACATCATCAAACAAGTGATAGTTAAAAACAACGGTTTCGGCTAATTAATTCCAGTGCAATGTTTCATGTTGGGCGCCATTTCGCCAAAAAATAGCACTCAAAACACTAGTGTACCTTATATGTACAGCCTCAGTCAAAAGATATATTAACATAGTTAAAAATATACAAAGGTCTCCCCCAATAGGTATCAAGCAAATTGTTTATGTTGGGCGCCATTTCGCCAAATTGCACATCATCAAGCTAGATATATTTAAATAGTTTAAAATATACAAATATCTCGCCCAGTTGGTATCAGGCACATTTTTGATGTTGGGCTCCACTTCTCCAAAAAGCGTACTATACCATGGTGAATTCCAGATGCACAATTTAAGCGTAGTCACATTAAAATAATAAATTTCGGGCAATATATGCCCGAAAAATAGAACAAAAATTTCTCGTGTGTACTTCACATATATACTCTAAGTTAAAAGATATATTGACATAATTACAAATATGCAACGGATCGACCAATTGATGTCAGACAATTTTTTTTCATGTTGAGCGCCTTTTCTCCAAATATAGTGCACACAAATCGGATATACTTCATATGTATATCATCATATATTAGGTTGGGGAAACATAAATCCATTATGAAAATGTCGATAAATTTAATTTTAGCAGTCGTAAGATGGCCCAGGATCTAAAAATCAATCATAAAACTGTTTTAAAACATTTGCAGAAAGATGGATTCGAAAAAAAGCTCCAAGTTTTGTGTGTCACATCAATTAACAGAAAAAATAGGATGTATCGAATTTTCATCTGCGAAACCTTGGCCAAACGGAATGAGATAGACCCATTTCTTAAACGGATGGTGACTGGAGATGGAAAATGGATCACATACGATAACTCTGTGCGAAAACGATCGCATCTCAAACGGTGGCCACACCACGACTAACGGCCAGGAAGGTTCTGCTATGCATTTGGTGAGATTGGAAGGGGATTATTCATTATGAGTTGCTTCCACCTGGCCAAACGCTAAATTCTGATCTCTACTTTCAACAGCAATTGACCAGAATTGGCCAACAGGAGAGGTGACGTGTTCCACCAGGACAACGCTAGGCCACACACACCTACAGTTACTCGCTTGATAGGGAAGTTTAAATTCATCCACCATACAGTCCGGACTTGGCACTAACCGATTATCATATTTTTCTTGCATAGCAAAATTTCTTTAATGATAAAAACCTATCTAGGGAGAATTGTGAAAATCGACTACTAGAATTTTTTTTGCAAATAGAGAGCAGGACATCTACGAGAGAGGCATTATGAAACGGTGCATATTTTGCCCAAATCGTTCATATAAAAATAATGGATTTCTTTTTCCCTAACCTAATATTAATACAGTTTAAAAATTTAGAACGGTTTCAGCCAATTGGTGTCAGGCAATTTTTAGCACTGTTCAATAATTGGGCGCCATTTCTCCAAAAATAGCACACAAAGCTCTTGCAAACTTAGAGTTGTCAAATTAAGATAATTAAAAATTATTCAACGATTTCGGCCAATTTATGTCAGAGAAATGTGTCATGTTGGGCGCCACTTTTCCAACAATATGAATACTCCCTTATACAACCTCAAATCAATTCTTTTATTTTTTTTTATAATACTTGCACTTCATATTTATTTACCTTTGTCGAAAAAGTAATTCCAAACCTTCAATATCCGTGCGAGCTGCATTTCCAATGATTACGGACTGCAGTAGAAATATAACACCCGAACAAAACACACCAAACAAATATTTCTGTTGCCAAATATTCATATTTCCACTAGAAATTATGTTACATTCACTTTCAACAATTTAAATAATCAATCACTTTCAAAATCCGTTTTTAGGATTATAATTTTTCAGATTTTTTTTTTTTGTTTTTCAGTTGTTATCCTTTCAATCGCTAAAAGAAAACTGTGACTATCCCCAGGGATTGATGTTGTTTTTCTATGCCTATTTCATCTATGGTTTCGAATAATAAAAATTGATTATTGTTCGACTGGGGGGAAACACATACGAACGTAAGGAAAACACTAAACAAATATTAACATCAGCCAGGAGGATTACTCGTAGGTGTTTGACGTTGTCGCCAAAAATCAGGCATTTAAATAAAAACAGTTTACCCAGTGTACACTAAAGAAATTACGACCTGTCGCGTCAAAATCTGCTTTCATTCATGGATTTCCATTTGATGAGTAGACACTCATTGATGGTGTTGTTGTTGTTTTTGTTGATGATTGACACCTTTGCCTTAAAATTTTATTTCATTCATATGCACGTTGAATGTATGTATGTTGATGGGTAATACTTTCTCCCCTTTCCCTCTCCCCCTTCTTATTCCGACAACCTATAATTACTCCGTATTTCAAATGTTAGTTTTATCCATGGAAATAAATTCATTGGAGGGTAAACATTGGGATTTTTACCTATACGTACACCAATGTGCACTGGGGGAGACAGTGGTTTATTTGTGTGGAGATCGCAATATTTAAGATTTTTGAAAATGTACACATAAGTTGAAACAACTTCTAGGATGTTTGATATGATTTGGAAAAGGGATACCTTAGGTCCTTGTTTTGGTTTAGGCCACATATAAAGACTGTCTTCATATTAAAAAAATTCTAGCATCCACAATACAAAAACGAGACATATATAAAAACATCTACAGAATGGGGCAACCCCTGCATCTACAGTTCATCAGAAATTTTTCCTACACTGGAAGCCTTTGCTGACATTTTCAGAGAACAAAAAATTCCTTGCTGATAAATGCCACGACCGATTTTATTTATTTTTAATAATTTTAATCCCCTCATGGTGGAGCAATGAATCACACATATTGCAAACCACTGTACATGCAATATTCTTGGTAAATATTTAAAAACCTTTTTATGGCCACCTCTCTGCAAAGAGGCGTCAATAAAAAGTCCTCATATTTCCTCCCAAAAGGTGGTGGTGTTTAATTTTTTTATTAGCGCCTTGTTACTCAACAAGTGATGGATAACTTTAGTTGTTACCCTTCCACAACATTACCCCACATGTGGGTTGGAACCCCAAAATAAATAAACACGGCTATGAATCCTTTGTTGGCGTTTAAATGCACACATACACACTCATACAGGTTAAGCTACGAAAATAAAATTCATTCTGTTGGAGGTATAACAACAGGTGTCTGTTGTTGTTATTTTAGACGTCATTATTGTTGTTGTTGACTTCGTTAACAGATGATAGCTTAAATAAATATAGTCATTACGTGTGGTTTAGTTTACATATACCGCAAGTATGTTTTGAGTGTGTGTGTGTTTTGTGTTCTATTGATCCTTTGGTAAATTTAATTGGCTGTATATGGTTAATATCCCATCGATATACGGTGCTAGTGGCGTCGTGTTTTTAGCAAGAAAACAAATAGTTGAAAGTTGTGAATCATTGTCGAATTTTTCGATTTTTTTTTCGCTGGCTATAAATGGGTGAACATTAAATAAATGCATTTTAAAATATAAAATCGCATGTTGAATTGTTCGAAACGAAGTATGGTTTTGGTTAGTTGAATCACAGTCTATTATTTTTGGATTGTCCGAGTGCTGATTAATAATTAATAATAATTCTTACAATTAATCATTAATTTCGTCGTTTGAAGTTTACCAGCGGGCATTTACCATAAGTTCAGAAAATATAACAGATATGGTACCAGTTCGGATATATTCGGTTTCTTTACACTTCTATCGATCATGTAGAACAGGCCTTTGGGGTCTGAGTCGACACTTCGGCCGATTTTTTGTAGTTGGAGTCCAAGTCGAAAAATAACCCAACTATCAACACAAAATATGTTGAAGGTTACAACAGCATTTGCCAACATAGTTTGACATTTTGGTTTTTTGCACAAAATGTTCGACATTTTGAAAGTTTTAAATAATAAATATATTGGAAATGGGAGATATTGAAAAACTTTATGACACAGCTCCCATATAATTATCCCGGCCTCATACGGTATTTGAAGGACATTCGCTCACTTTCCTACCGAAGTAGGTGTAGTTTGATATTCCTATTTAAAAACTGCCGGTCAACTTCCATCCTTTCTCAGATTTTATCGACATTTTCGGCGACAGGCCTACCTGTGCGAGGTACATATTTAACATCAAAAATTCCTGAACGGAATCTATGAAACCAAAAATTGGAACCATAAACACCATTCACAATTTTAGCCGCTTGGCTTGGATTTTCGCCTTTGTCAAAGAAAAACTGTAAAATGTACCGCATTTTCTCTTTGTTCTCTTCCATGTTTAACCCCCTGTAACTCACAATCACAATCACAAGCATAAATCTGTTTGATCGATATTTTACGAGAAATCTATCAGTACAGCAATCTGCCAAAATAAAATAATGGAATTATCGGGAGAAAAGGAGAGAGGAGAAACGTATTTTAAGAAAAAAAGAAGAATGAACAAAAAAAAAAAAAAAACGAGCGTGAGCAAATCGAGATGTACAGCAGTCAGAATGAAGTCCGGAAATATTCCCAAGGAGTAAAACATCAAACCGAAGGCTTTCTTCCTGTAGAGATGATGATGGAAACCTGGGGACGGATACAGTTAGCGTGTTGAGGATCTAGAAGGAGCATTTTGAAAGGCATCTTGTACCAGATAGTGGCGGTGAGGAAGATACCCTAGAACCAATAAGGGATGACGGTAACAATCTAGGTCAGAGTACCAATTAATCGGCTGAACTATTCAATACAGGTGGTCAGATGCTGGTCAGGAGCAGGAACCAGCTGATTAGAACAATTTGGCTAGTGGAATGCAAGACCAATGATTGAAACCTCAGCATCCTGTGTCTCGTGCAAAAAAGGAGATCTGTGCCAACTATAGAAGAATAAGTATTCTTCCCTATCCAGTGTGCTGTATGAACGACTGTAGTCAATGGTCAATGACATTATTGGACCATAAAAATGCGGCTTCAGACCTTACAAGTCAACAATTGACCACTCTGTGCCAAATCCATTCCACCTATTCGTCGACTATAAAACCGCATTCTGAAGCCCTATCCGTTCAGAAGTGGTTAAAACCATGTCTGCGTTCGGCATTCCGGCAAAATGAATACGGATATGCAGAATAACGGCACAAGATCAACAGTAAAAGTCGGAAAATACCTATCGGAGTCCTTTAATACCGAACGAGGATACAGACAAGGTGACAGTTTGTCGTGTGATCTTTTTAATATCTTGCTGGAAAAGGACATACGAGAGGCAAAGTTGAACAGAAATGGCACTCTGTACACCAAACAGCATATGTTATTCGCCTACGCCGACGACATCGATATAATGGGTCGTAACATCCACCTTTGTTCGAATTGAGAAGTGGCTTTGGCAGAAAACGGTATCAACGCGCAAGACGTCCAGTAGACTTGGATCAACTGTGGAACTTGAGAACTACAACTTCGAGGTTGTCAAAGATTTTATATACCTTTGTACCGGCAAAAATAAAACTAATGACATCAGTGTTGGCCAACGGATTCTACTATGGTCTGAGTAAGCAGTTTAGAAACAGGACCATCTCCTGACAGACCAAAATGACACTCTACAAGACGCTGATACTACCCGTGATGTTATATGGATCTGAAGCATGGGTACTTGCGCAAGTAGATGAGACAGCTCTTGGAGTGTTTGAGAGAAAAATTAGCCGAAAGATCTAGGAGCCGAGCTGCACCGACGGTGACTATCGGCGTATCGGGACATAAGCGTAAGGCCACGAAGTAGATGGAAAGATCAAGTGGAAGAGAACATTTTGGCACATTTTCAAATTGGAAAAACTGTGCGCAACACCGACGCGTTGGGAAATCTTTTTTAAGCTCGGCTTATGAAACAAATTAAATAAGAAGTAGCTAGCTAGAACTAGCTTTGCTTAATTGATTGATTAAGTCCCTTTTAGCACACAACTCGTTGTTACAGTGCTACCTTTATATCGGTGTAGACTATTATTTCACCTTGTGACATAATTTTTTATACCCTTCACCACACTGTGGTACAGGGTATTATATATTTGTGCATATGTTTGTAACAGGCAAAAGGAAACGAGATAGACACATGGTTCCTTTTGAGAATATGCATAGAATCACTGTCGATTTATGCATGTCCGTCCGTCCGTCTGTCTGTCTGTGCATGTTAAATTGTAAACAAAGTACAAGTCGCATTTATGATCCGAATTGGATGAAATTCGGCCCAAGGACGAACCGTATTGAAATTGGGAAAAATCGGTTCAGATTTAGATATAGCTCCCATATATATATATTTAACCGATTTAATGTAAACGGTCCCTATATATCTTTCGATTTGCACGAAATTTGGTACAGCCTAATCATTTAGGTCTAGAATTATGTCTGCCAAGTTTCGTGAAAATCGGTCCAGATTTAGGTATAGCTCCCATATATAGTTTCGTCCGATTTCATGTAAATGGTGCACCAAAGTCCCTATATATTCTTCGATTTGCACGAAATTTGGCATAACCTACTGAACTAAGCCTAGAATGATGTGTGCCAAGTTTCGTGAAAATCGGTCCAGATTTAGATATATCTCTCATATATAGTTTCGTCCGATTTCATGTAAATGGTGCACCAAAGTCCCTACATATCCTTCGATTTGCACGAAATTTGGCATAACGTACTGAATTGAGCCTAGAGTGATGTCTGTCAAGTTTAGTGAAAATCGGTCAAGATTTAGATATAGCTCCCATATATATTTTCGTCCGATTTAATGTAAATGGTGCACCAAAGTCCAGATATATCCT